AGGGAGTGACAACAAAATGGAATGTTGCTAAAAGTTTTAGTCAAGACGTCGCTTAAGATGATGACAGATATGAACAATCAACGAGGTATGCAAGTAATGACGGTTTGGTTCCAAAGAATTCCTTATTTAATGTTGAACAACGAGAAAAGCTAGAAATTATATGTTTCCAATGGAATTCCGTCTATGAAGTCGTTGAAAATATTTGCAGAAGTATTTTGGGGAGTCTAGTTTATCTCGAACACAAGTATTTGAGTGACCAAAAGCATTTAGTGAAGTGAAGTCATCGAAAACTTGCCTTATGTGTGTCGTGCGCCCACATTAAGGACGGTTACATCGAAAAAGTTAAATAAACAGTGCTTGAAAATTCATCGATTAGAAATCCCAAAAAAAATGTTTGACAACGTAGCTGACGACCCTGACGTCAAAGTACGGAAAGACTTTTTAACGTGTTACCAATCGAGCATAAAGTATTTTTCTTCCTTTCTAGGAGAATAATATTTACCTTATTTTTTTAATGTTATTGAATTTCGGTTATCATTAGCCTATCCTTAACTCAAGGAACCTTTGTTGTTATCATCATGTTCTCATATTTTCCTCGATATTTCCAAAAAATTACATAAAACCCATTTAAAGTCATCAAAAGCTTGATCCAAGTTTTGAATATGAATCATAACTTAAAGCACTGAACTCAACATCTGTCTTTTGTAATGTTTCAATAAACTTAAAGCGCTTGCTTGATGTCACCAAAACTTTAATAATACCGACCCTTTTCAGTTATTTAAATCACCCACTAGCTGCAATAATTACATAAATTACCAATTTATGAAGAGCTCCGAAAGCCACGTAAAGTTTTTCATACAATAAACTGAATTTATCGGTTAGTTTGAATGGCGATATTTATGTATATTCGTATGCTATAGTGGTGATAATTCGCGTATTTACAGGCAGACTGACGATAAGACGAACAAGACTAAATCGAACTACTTTATAGGGCGTCCGACGTTTCCTTCTGGATGTTACAAAATTCTTGGCAAGCTTAATATAACCTATTCAGAATATACAAATACATGGTGCGTACATAGTTTTGGAATATTATGTAATCCGTTATCCACCTTGCACTACTCGCATAAGGCAAGTTTTCGATGACTTCACGACCTTTACTAAATGCTTTGTGCCCCTCAAATATTGGTGTTCGAGATAAAGTAGATTTCCGAAAATACTTCTGCAAATTTTTTTAACGATTCCGTAATCGCAACTCCATTGGATATACATCGCCAGACAAACTAATTGACATATAGAGATCAAACTTCACAGGCACATAAAAAAATTTTTACCAATCTAGCAAAAAAAATTTTATCGACTCTGATTACGCGCGTAGTTTAAATGGACCAGTCCGAGCGAACTTTGATCAGACAAGTTTATAGTTTACCTTCATTATCATTACAGCTAGCACAACAGCCAATTTATGCTGATTTCCCTACAGAGTACGTTTCCACGCATTCAATATGGTATATGTTGACTGAATTAGAGTGAATGCATTAACTTCATTTGCAGATGTGTAATGGTGTTGAGTCTTAACCCAGCAGATATGCAACTGAAGTGTTAGTGACTTTACATCTTCAGATCGATGGTGGGAAAAAGTTGCGGAATTTTCGATAACAGCTGGATTGTATAAATGGCAGCTAAGATATTTTGATTTGTTGTTGTATTTCGCTGACATGTGGGTGTGTGTGTTTATGTATCGAGTGTCGGTATACCGAAATGAAAATAATAACAACCACAAACACAACCACAAAAAAGATGGCAACGCTAATAAAACGCAGTAAATAATTAAAGCAAACAACGGCAACCAAATAAAGTGCGTAATTTACGGTTATTTGAAGAAAATTAATTAGAGTCGAAAGGAGGCTATGCAAAGCTTTGCACTATGTGGTGAACGCTGGCGTAGAAGCATTAAATGAGATAAATAATGTAGAGACATAAATAATGTAATGAAAAATTATAGCAAATATAGCAAGCAAGTGAAATTGTTGTGGTAGCGTAGTTTTACTGAAATGTACTGTTGCGTCAATTGACGTGTGGGGGTTTGATGTCCTAAGTGGGGTAATACTAGTTGGTGTTGGTATTATAGCGGCAGAAAATATTTCTGAAATAATTTGGAAGAATGCTGCTGAGTTGAATACGGTTAGTTTGTACTTGTATGTATTGTATAAGTATTTCGCCGGCTTTGATCCTTGCAAGTGGAAAAATTATAAAATGTTCGGTTACAGCCGAATTGGCCCTTCCTTATTTGTTTAATATAAATTTATATTTTACTTCCCGTCAGCGAAAATTGTACTGAAATCATTGGGGACAGAGAATTGCAAGGGCCATTTGCCAGATATACTTGAAAATTTATTTTCAAGCAATTTTATAAATATAAACATTTATATGAAGTCTACCGGACGTTTCAAAATCGTGAATAATAATAAAATATTTCACAGATTGACCGATAGTTTCACCAAAAAATAAACCACACGCATTGGGGACCACATATTTGGCGTCTGGGTTCTTCAAAAGTTATGATTATGACAATTTTTTAGCGTAAGATGAAATACCTTGAGGACACTATTTTTGCAAAGTTCTATCCGGATACATTGGTTGGTTCTTGATTTGTATACTGGAAATGCTATATGGGAAGAAGGCGTGGTTATAGTCCGATTGCTCCCATTTTACAAGGACATAGGATCGTTAGGATAATGTTATGTACCAAATTTGGTTGACATCGGTCGAGTAAGTCCCGAGATATGGATTTTCTCCTAACATTATACACTTGTTGGTATCTTGTATGCAGACTTTTTCTGCCGAGTGTATATTTCTGAAGCATTTAGTCATTGATTTTTAGTGGTTTTATTAGTTTTAAACAAAACCGTTATATGGGAAAAAAGCAGGTTTATAATCCGATTTCATTTATTTTCACACTGTCGGTGATGGACAGACAGAGAGTCGCTCGGAATTCAACTCGTCTCGTCATCCTGATCATTTATGTATATATTGTACTCTATATCTAACTCGATTAGTTTGAAGTGAGAGGAACAACCGTTTAGAGAACTCTACTAAGCTTAAAGACTTTTAGACATAACGACTTTAATAGGCTCAATGTGCGACCTTTTAACTCGAGATCAATTTCTATTTAATCACTCGCTGTTCTGACTTGATTCACCAATGTTGACCGTGACTCTATAGCCGTCAAAACTTACGACGACGGCTTCAAGCTTCTGACTGCCTGTAATCAAAACCGCTTCGATTTTTTGCAGAGCAAGCTGATGATCTGAACCTCCCTCTGTAGTGAAAGGAAGAACACCGCGTTGTAGAGTACGTTTCACAACAGTGAGCCAAGCACAGAACCTGGTGGTACTGCATTAGTATAAAATACATATATGAATATTTTTATTTTTTTTTTTATATAGTAGCGGAAAGCCGAAGCACGGAACTTTAATCTGCTGAACCTAACCTACTCCCAACTCATGTCTCTCCCACGGAACTACCGGATTAAATATTACTCCTCCTTACTCCTCTGTTGTAACCACCTCAGTTTGGTAATAATAAGAGCTGCCGCATGACAGCTTTCTATGTATCAGAGGACTGACACATATGTGCTGTCAAAGTTTCCACCGTTAGACTACCGCCGAGTGTAGATTTCAACTTTTCCCTAATATTTAAAAAACATTGGTATAAGCAAGCCCCAAACCGATTCCAAGTATTTTTCATTACACAAATACTTGTGGACTTATGCACTGATATGTGCATTTATATAATATATATGAATATATGATAGAAGAATGAGTTAGTGAGTAGGCCTAATCTCGAGAAAACTTGATACTGTTTTCGTGTTTCTCAACTTTTGTTTTTGTTTTTTCGATAAATATAAATTATAATACTGTTTTTATTATTTCTATACAAACGCACCAGTATCTCAGTCTAACTAGTTGACTGCTGAGTAGCGGCTCGACTCGGCTGGGCTATTTAACTGTTAAACGTATAAAAATCGACGCAGCCTAATATGAATGACACCGACGGCTGGGTGCTAAGTGGCAATAACGACAAGACCAACAACATTGATATTATTAGTAGTTGCAATAACAACAACAATGTGTGTCCAATAACGACAACTACACTAGTTAAACGACAACTACAACAACAAATGCGCGAGAGCAGTAAAACAACAGTAGGTGGCCACTAACACCGGCCAAACAACAACAACAAGATTGCTAACATATGCTAGCGTTGTATTCGGACTTGTACTATATACATACGTGTACATGTACGCACATATATAGTATATGTATACACATGTATGTGTGTGTGTATGCATTCGCTGCAGCAGACTCTTACCTACACAAATACCAAAGTGTTGCTATTGCGCTGCATGGTTGGGCCTTCACTTTCTGACTGCCACTAATACAAAGTAAGAAAATAAATACACGCATACACACACGCACGTATACATACAACGTTTGCGCATAGCACATCCTCCACGATATTGTGACGTCCTGATTAGTCGGTTGTTTTCATAGCTGTACGTGCAGCTTGCGGTGGTAGTAGTAGTGGTGATGGTGGTGGAATACCTTGTTGTTGTTTGGCTGCATGGTGGATTTTCACAAAAACAACACGGCAAGTCAATTTCACAGACGCACACATACACACATTTACATACATATATGCGCTATTGCGTTGAGAGTATACCAGAGCGCAAGAGCATTGCCTACAAATACAAATACAAAGTGCGGGTGCATGCATACACGCACACAGTGACACACACACATACGGACACTTAAGTAAGCAAGCAGAAAACCAGCCATTCAGGCATACTTCACGCTGCTCTTCATACACCAACACTGTGTGTGCCTGTGTGTGTGTATTATATTTAAGTGCGTGTGTGTGTCTTGCCCTCCGCACCGCTTGTATGCGCGCCTTGCTACTTTACGTTGCGTTCGGACTCGAGGTGAATGTTATTTCAGCTACAGATTCAGTATCTGACGTGTTACTATCCCGAACGGATCGTTTAGCTCGGTGAAGTGCTGCAGTCAGCAAAACAAAATAAAATAACAGCAAGGCAGAAAAGCGCTGGACCAACGGCATTTGCAAGTGGAAAGGGAAAAAATAAAAATTTAATGAATAAATATAAATGTATGTGTATATGCACATAGAGATTCAGTGACGACACTCGCCACACCACTTTAACGCGCTGTTGTTGTTGTTGGTGCACAAGTAAAAATAATAAAATAACATTTTAGTTGCAAAAACAAAAAACACACACAGCAAAGCAAATAGAAAATAAATATATAAAAGTTTTAAGTCCATGTGGAGCAAGCGCCCCATTACCGTGTTTGTGGCTAGACGCGTCAAGAATCTGCGACGACGCGCACGTCTGTAGCGACGGAGTTTACTTAAAAAATACAAACAAGTGAAATTAAGTAAATATTTGCTGAGCAAACAAAGAATTTGGCGAATAGAACTTGCGACTTGCGAAAACAACTACGCGCGACAAGCGTTTGCAGCCAAATTAGGTAACGGTAAAAAACGTGTGAAGTTAAATTGAGCAAATAACTCTAAGGGATGTTTAAAATTTTATTTGAAAAATAAATAAAAACAATAAACAAGTAAATTGGTTTACGTGTTGCATATGCCACACTAATAGAAAGTGCTACTCGAAATTTTAGTGACAACAACAAAAAGTTGTGCAAACAACTGCAATTTTTCAACTGCAAGCCACTTGCACATCAACCAAAACCATGCATACACTTTTCACCGATCAGAATTCCTTCTCGCGCCATTACGCGCAAACCGCCGGCTATCCCAGCGCGGCCACCGCCGGCGCCATGACGACGGCATCCGCAGCGGCCGCGGCACACTATGCCTACGATCAGTATTCGCGTTACAGCTATCCGGCAAGCGCTTACGGTTTGGGCGCGCCACATCAGAATAAGGAGATCGTGAAACCGCCCTACTCCTATATAGCGCTCATTGCCATGGCCATACAGAACTCGGCGGACAAGAAAATTACGCTTAACGGCATTTACCAGTATATAATGGAGCGTTTTCCCTACTATCGCGACAACAAACAGGGTTGGCAGAACTCGATACGTCACAATCTCAGTTTGAATGAGTGTTTCGTGAAGGTGGCGCGTGACGATAAGAAGCCCGGCAAAGGTTCATATTGGACGCTCGATCCCGATTCGTATAATATGTTCGATAACGGCTCGTTTTTGCGACGGCGTCGTCGTTTCAAGAAGAAAGATGTGATGCGCGAAAAGGAGGAGGCCATGAAACGGCAGGCGATGATGAACGAGAAGTTGGCCGAAATCAAGCCGTTGAAGCTGATGACGAACGGCATTTTGGATCACAAGCATATGGCAGCGCATGCACACTTCAAGAAGGAGCCCATTATGGAACTAGGCTGTCTGGCGGGCAAAGATATGCACACCGGACTGAGCACCGCCATGTTGAACTCATGTCACGACAGTTTGGCGCAAATGAATCATCTTACCGGCACGGTAGAGCATGCCGGCTTTACCGTTGACTCACTCATGAATGTCTACAATCCACGCATACATCACAGCGCCTATCCGTATCACCTGAACGAAGACAACTTAGCCGTCGCTTCGACGCAAATGCACGCTCACCATGCCGCCGCAGCGCATCACGCCCAGCTGCGTCATCATCACGCCGCCCACGTTTCGCATACGCACCCGCTAACGCCTGGCGGCCATGCAGGTGTACAGCTGGGCGGCACAACCGCCTTAACATCTGGCGCCTCACCCACAACGATCTCAACGCCACATGGACCAACACATGGCGGCTGGTATACACCTGAAACACCACCATCCGAGCCGATCGGTAATGGCGGTGCTGGTGGAGGCAGCGGTGGTGTTACAAATGCTGGCGCACAAAGCAATAATAATAATAATAACAACAACAACAATAGTAGCAATAACAGTCATAATCATAATGGTTCAGCAGGTGTGCATATCGGCAATCACAATCACGCTTCAGTACTCACCGCTACCAGCAGTCCGTCGGCTGTGGTAGGTGGTATCGTTACGGGTCACACATCGCTGGGTTTCCGTGATATGCTCTTCGAGCAGAATCAACCATGCCAAATGGAAACGGGCAGCCCGAATGGCAGTCTACAATCCGCCAGTCCACCGGCGAGCGCCAGCGCAGCAGCGGCCTCCGCAGCAGCCGCGGCGTCGGTGATTAGCAGTCATCATCATCACCACCACCATCATCTGAGCGGGAATCTGGGAAATTTGAGTAATCTGAGCAACTTAAGTCATTACCGTTCGCATGTGAGCCATTATCAGGACTACGGCATCAAATATGGCGTCTAAGTCACCCAGCAACTGTGTGCCGCTGAGTTTATAAAAGTGGAGCGGTGCTTGTAGCTGTTTCAGCGTAACGGTATTCCATTCGCGAAGTGCACATAGTTGGCGGTTACCGTTATAAATTAATGCATTTAAGTGACTGACACACTAGTTTGACTTGAATGAACCGACACGCTTTCGCGTTAGCAACTGTAATGCAACGAAGTTTAATTACTTTAAGTAGTCGTTCTCAATACACAGTTTAAGGTATACGAATTTATATTCTAAGTGTTAATAATATTATGCTGTAGGCTTACATAAATACATATTTATTTTTATTTTTTGTTTTTTGATTGCAAACAACAAACTCAAGCTTCAATATATTACACGTACATATTTACATATATCTGTGGATTTGTATGCAATTGTATGCTTTGTGCGCCAAAAGGATTTGAAAATAAATATTTTTGAACTATGAAAAAATACATTTTTTGAAGTGCGTTAAATTTTTTAAGCAAAAATTCATCAAAAATATTACATAAATAGAAGTTAGTTAAAGTTATTATATGGTACATATAATTAATTTTCAATTAATTGCTATTCATTTTACTTCTGAAATTTTGTATATAAACAAAAAATATAAAATTGTTTATGTAAAAAGTATATAAAAAACTTTTATATATATAAAATTTATATGTATTAAATTTTTTATAAAAAAAAAATTATAAGAATTTTTTTTACAAACTAAAAAAAAATCTGAAAAAATTATTAACATTTTTCATTATTTTTCACAAAAATTAAAATTGCTTGCAAAAATTTCCGTTACATTCACAAAGCGCACTTTGGCTACTGTAACATATATTTCATTTCTCACAAAATGTGCATTAAAAATCCACAAAAGTATTTCTATACGTTTATATACATGCATATATAGATATATATATGTACACACACTGTTATTTATAGACACATTATTTAAAAACAAAATTAGTACAGAATCGCAATAAAAAGGCAAACATTTACTTTTTAAAGCGGGCGAAATGTGAGTGCGTCTCTGCACATACCATAAATTATACGCGAAAAACATTTGTTGTTGTATTTGAAATAAGAAAAAAAAAATTGTAATATTAAATAATAATTAAAATAAATCGTTTTAAGTCCATAAGTTTTAGCGAATAGCAAAGAAATTTTGTGATCATTCGAAATAAAATCTTAAGCCTTTTAATTTTAACATAAATAATTACACATAAAATAAATAGAATTGTTTGTAAAAAAATATTGAACGAGTTATAAAACAAAACTAACTCTTATATAATAAGTAGTTCTTAGTAGTACTTAAGTATGGTAATTACACTGTAATCATTACCTTTCTATTTTTAAGTAAATTTGATCAAAATTTCGCATTGATAATATACATACGAGTACATAGCTGAAAATCTATGCTTATACATATATAGGAACAAAATTACAAAAAATATATAACAGTAAAAAATATTACACTGAAGAATTATAAACAAAAAATGGTGAGTTTTATTTTTACATAGAAGTTTATAGTAATGATCAATTGCCTCACCTCATACTGATGAATTAAAACGTGTTCTGCATTTATATTTCAATATAAACGATAGGATAGCAAATGGGCGAGTAATATTTTAGACATATACGATTTAGAAACATCAGAAGTGAAGACTAAGCGGTATAGCTTTCATATAATCTAAAGTTTTATGGAAAATTTACAAAGAAAAATTTATGAACATCATCTTATAGGGTATAAGGTATATGAGAAGGTGAGATTGCATTCTAAAAATGAAAATCGTTGTTTGTTACTCTTGATACTAGAATGTCAATTCCTTAAAAGTATATTTATACCTATTATATTTAAAGAATAGACAGTAAAAATTTTGATGTTAAAAATTTACTATTTTTCGAATTACAGGAGATCTCCGACAACATTAAAAAAGGTTCTCCATTGCCTTCCTGGATGAAACCTATAAAAAGATCGTTTTTAGAAGCTATTACCCGTACAATGACCTGCGGTCGAAAAAAAATTAAAAAATGTACAAAGTAATGGCGTTTTTAAAAGAAAAATTTAATTTTACCCAAAATTTGGTCGGTTTTGGCCTGCCAAAATCGTTTTTAGAACAGATCAAATTACTGTTAGGTTACTGTATGAAGAACTATATACAAAAAGGGTAAAAAAAAATAAAAAAATATCATTTGTCTCCGAGTACTCACTTAAGGAAATTTGAAAAATTTAGTTTTCAGAAAATCGCGTTTTAAGAAAAATTGATGAAACTGATTGAACCGAGCAGCTACAATTTAAAAGACTTTAATTCAGTAACTATTTGAGATATCGATTTAGAAGTTTAGTATGTTATTTCTTAATGTATGACCTATCGATTATGAAAATAATATCGATTTTTTTAAATTTTATGCTAGATGTACCACTTCAGAATTTGAAGCTTGAGGGGTGAATATGATAGTATATGTATAGCACGCATGAAGTTTAAAGTGCGAAAAGAAAATTAGGAAGAAGTATGTGAACACTCTTTTAAACTCCTACATTTTGTTGCTTAAGTAAATGGCAGAAATATTTTGCAACTGTAATTCGCACGAAACGGTTGTTACAAAGTGTCATTAATTTGATTGAAATACCATTCTTAACATTTATTGTTTCATGTAACACATTTTTGAAATATTTTTCGATAATTTTGAAGATTTTGAAAACAATATATTCTCAGTTACTTCTTCCGAATCACTTATGGACTACACCCTGATCAGGGGACTGTCTACAGTCGTTGTTTCGAGGAATTTTTTTAAAATTATTATTACCTATATATCTGATCACCAATTTGTAATCCTTTTTTGAATTTCCAAAAATTGAATTTTTGGCGAATATTTGAAGTTTATCCCGCAAATAGTTTCAAACATATGTGCGTTTTTGTAAAAAAATGTTAACTTTGAACGCGACTTTCTAAAAACGATGTTTTCAGAGTAGATGAGGAAAATTTGTCCGAAACTGGATTGCCTGGACTAATCGACTTGAAAGTCTCTCCTGATTTGCAATACCATAATATTCAGAGCGGATGGAAGGATAGACAGATGTTAGACAACAAAAATATGGCTTTGATTTGTTAACTTTTCTTGATTATTTTTGTACTCTTGCAACATGTTGCTACAGAGTATAATAATTTTGTTCATCTAATGGTTGCTTGTAACACTCAAAACTAATCGATATAGATATTGAATGATATGTATCAATGTTCAATGATCAGGATAACGGGACAAGTTGAATTTCAAGTGACTATCCAACCGTTCGTACAGGCGAAAACTTTAATAAAAATTGAGAAGATAAAACTTGGTGCAGGTGTATTATGTCTAAAAATTTTCGAATTTCCAATTGACTTTATATCGTATATAACGTTTAATATTAGAGTTGTATTAATGAGATTCAGGGAACGACTTTCTGTGATAATTTTCTGCCCTTGTCCCGAAAATGGTTATTATCTGCTTAATATTTTTTCTAGCCCCCATATACCTAATATAGTAATTTCTAGGTCAAAATGTGCAACATTTTAATAAAAATAGCTATTTTTATCACCACTTAATTAAGTGTTTTCTTAACAGTTAGGTGATTATGAATGATATTCTACAGTTATTTTCCCCTCATATACCTAATATTTTAAATTTTGCACTTTTGGTTCAGTTTCTCTATCATATATCTCAATAGAAGACTGAATTAAATGTGTGTTAAAACATATATTTATATATCTATATATATTACATATGTATGTAATGCCTATATGAAAATTAAAAACTGATTGAAACAAAAAATATTCAAAATTAATAAAAAGTAGTTAATATTATAGCCTTTAATAGAACCAATACGTAACAAATCCGCAGGCTCCGCATTTTGAATGCTTCAAGTTTCAAAATTTAGTTATTGCATAAGTTATCAAAAAGATATATAAACAACTGAGGTATTCACTCAACTTAAAACATATTTTCATATCACTTTATCGCTGTTACACTATACTCTTGCCATAGCCATATTGGGTGTCCATGAAACTGGTGAACGGCAGTTGTTCATTTGCAATATCAAAACATGCCATCGCAGTGCGTCAACCAAATACCAAAACAATGAAAACTTAATTGTTAGATTGAATTACTGTTAAACCACCGTTTGCAGGCGAAGAACATAAATTCCCCGTCAAACTGAAAAGAGTGGAAGTAGTGAATGTACATATGTGTGTACAGCAATCACCAATCTGGTAACAAATCGTAGGCAACACCAAAACAACCTGTTTTGCTATAATGTTGCTGTCGAAAACCAAAAAAAAAAAAAAATAATGGAATGATACAAAATATTGATAGAAATAAAAGTTACTTTGAAGAGTGTATGGACAAAATAGCTGCCCTGTGCGAAAATGTTACCAAAAGGACAAGAAAAACTATAATACTACGGTTAAGAAAAGACAACATACTTTATCTAAAGTTGTATATGTAACCTTTGGCGAAACTTGTAGATCAGATGAAGATTTATACATAACTTAGTTAGTAAAAGTTAACAAAAAACACGTTGAATTTTTCTTTATTCTAATAATCGAATGATATGTACTAGGTATTCCTTGAATAACTGTGAAACTTTTAAGAAAACAAGCCAACGTGTCTAAGTAATGCTTACTATATTATTATGGCCCTTCGACCAATCGCAGAATGTAAATTATCGTCGAATTGTTCTCAAAGAATTTTTATACCCTCAACAGGGTTAATTAAGTTTGCCACGATGTTTGTAACACCCAAAAGCTAACGTCAGATACCCTATAAAGTATATATATATAAATGATCAGCGTGACGAGCTGAGTCGATTTAGCCATGTCCGTCTGTCCGTCCGTATGTAAGTATAAGAACTAGTGCCTCAGTTTTTGAAACATAAATCTGAAATTTTGCGCCGGATTACTATATTGAACGAGCGAAATAAAATGTGAACCTTTTTCATTTGGCGAGATATCTTCAAGAAATTTGGCATGGCTTATTGTCTAAAGCAATGGTGCAATCACCAAAAAAATTGTTCAGATCGGATTACTATAGTATACATAGTGCTATACAAACTGACCGATCAAAGCTCTTGTAAGTTTTTTTTTTTATTTGTGAAGGTTATTTTATACTTCGGTGCAACAAAAGGTACGGTTTTTTCTTTCGAAAAAAATATAAGTATATCACGAAACCCCGAAACAATATATATATTTGAGGGCACATATCTTTCAAAACAATTGAACAATTCTGAAGAGCGTGCTTCGAAAACGGCTAAAGCGAGTTTAGCCACCGGCAAAATCATTTTGATAGCTTTTTAGACCATGATGATATTTTTTCTCCCATTGATACGGTCCAGTAAAGGGTTTTGCAGCTGAGGCAGCATATTAAATTGCGCCTTCGTATAGATATGTATATTGTGGTTGGAAGTTACAAGTGTTATCACTACAAAAGTGGATATCACTAAGTGTTTTGAAAAAAAAAATAGTCTTTGGATTTATAAAAGTTCAATAACGGGAAACATTGGATTAATTTAATCAAGGATTTGTTAAAAAATAAAAGCCAATTTTTTTGTTTAAATATATATATAATATAGTATATACATACTATTGTATTCGTAGAGTTACTAATTTATACTCGCACAGTCATATATGTTTATATATATAATGTCACCACTTTCTCTTACTGAATTGAATTATTACAAAATCAAAAGCTGACAGAAATTAGCGCCCTTTAGTTAAATTTTCAAAAATAAAAAATTATAAATACTATTTTTACCCAACCTTGTATGTATGTATGTATGTAAGTGCCATGGACAAATGATTAAATTAATTCCATTGAACGATGATTTAAACATCAAAAATACAAAAGTTGGATTAGAAATTGATTTCGTTTGATGACAACTTGACAGGTGAGCCAATTTGATTGAAATCGCCAATAAATAGTATTTACCAAAATGACAGGCGATGCGAAGCAGACATACAGTATGGAGCCTTGACTTTTGAATGGTGACGAGCATGCTTCGAGTGCTTCGAATAGATTACATATAAATATACACACATACTTAAGTTATGTGTATATAAAAATAGTATATATACACACTTTCATCCAGCACAACCATGAGATTGTGACAACCACAGTGGCTGTAGAAATCCCAATTCGTACCGTTTGGTTCGAAACGCGAACATTTCATAACACTGTGCGATACATTTCGATCATATGTCTTTATTATAAGACATTTTTGTTAATAATTAATTTATATGCTTCGCTAAATACATATGCCAATGCGTTTTCGTACGTTAGAGGCCTGTCACAATGTGTACTTTAAGTATTGTCAACACACTGTAACCTAGAACAAAGATATTAGTACGTCCGAGCGAAGAATAAAATGAAATTGCAGAAGAGTTTTTCGAAAGAGTTATTTTAACCAAATGCCTTCAATGTAGAGATAACATTGGTCCTGTCATAACTGAGTTTCGAGA